ACCTGGCGTGTTAAATTTAGGGAAAATATGTTTTTTCTAAGTATATACGTTGGTGGGTAAGTCACTGTTAATTTATGTACAAAAGTTAAGTAGAGTAATTTTACAGATTTTTTCCACATTTCGAAAGCCAATTTCTTTCAACTTTGCTGATATACGATACTTTGTTAGTCTATAAACAAATCGACAGCAAGAATATTGCACTTTATGATTCGGATAAGGTTGTTTTTAAACTCAGTGTTTATTCACTAATAAAATTTTTAATTTTGAGTAAGATTTTGGGTGTTGACCTGATGCGATCTCAAATTTTCATCAAACGTTACATTCAGAGTTTTTAATTTATCTGCAAATTATAAATTGCCGCTTAATATACTTAATAATTATTCGGTATTTAAATGTAAAATGAACCATTTCACCAGCAGACTGTTGAGTTAGGCGCTCGGCATCACACTGACGCAACTGGACAAGTTTCCTGACAAATTAGTGGACCATCCACTATATATCCCTGCCTTAGCAGTTCCAGACTTTCATCTTATTCTAAAATTTAAGGAATTTCTTGGTGGAAACTGCGTGCACATGATGATATTTTATAAGGAACAGCCACTAACTGGTTTAACAGTCACACGACAGCGTTCTTTGACGACACGAAAAATGTTTAAATGTTCATGTTGAAAATTGACAAAATGTTCATATTTTAGTTTGTGATACAATTTACATTATAAATAAAGTTTCTCTGACTCTATTACTCAAAAAATGACATCTTATATTCTTGAACCATCCTTTTTAGTAAAGGATCTCATATGGGTCTAAACAAAAATTCGACGACCTAGGTTGGCGGATATGTCGTAGAGTATCTATTTTTTTTTGTAAAATTTTGGCGTTTTAGCAATTTGTCCGTTTTCCCGAACCTTCGGTCCCTCAAAAGCATTTGGGTCCATGATATTTGACTTTTCTCAGGTAATTTAGTCCAAGCAACTCAAAAATGACCTTTAAGTAGCAATCAGATAATTCATTTAGCAAATATTTCAGTCAAAATCGACTTTTTTGAAATCTTTCTCTGCCTCCCGAAAGAAAAAATCCACAGGATTGATTTTATCCGTAAAGGAGGAAGTCAGCCCTAAACATATAAATTGATTGTTGTACAAGAATGTTTGAGTTGCTCGAATTGGACTTTGGATGCGATTTTAGATATTTTAGACCAAAATTGGCCATTTTCATGATACCTACTGGATGGCGGGTCATGGTTCAGATCTTTTTCTGAATAGGACTTACAGATGCAGGAGATACTCTGAAATCTCAGAGTCCTAGATCAAACATTTCGCCGCTTAAATCTTGGTGATTCAGAAATAATGTGAATTTGAGCCTTTTTGGCAACTTCTCCATTAGTTCGCTACTCCTGTCATTGGAAATCATTAGGCCCTGCAATATGTGACAAAAGGCCATGTAAGAAGGGTTTTGACAACATTGTCACATTTGCGAGCTTAAAGGTTTTTACGAGTTTGTTGGAAATAAAAGCTATTTTAATATGGAGGTTGACCCAGGAGCAGAAAACCAACGAGAAACTGTTGATGATTAGAGACAACCAGGCGAGGCAAATCCGAGAACGTATGCAGACAATCAAAGGCCAGACGGCTAAAATTGACAGCCTGACCGCCCAGGTAACTTTTTTAATAAGTTCGAAAGAATCTCCCAAAGAACGGACCAACAGCCTAAAGAGACCGCTACGGACCGTAACCGACGATCAATACATATCCACAGACGATAACACACACACCGTCGGATTTATAAACGCAAAATCTAGAAGGAGGAGAAGCAAGACTGACCGACGAGCCGAGGAGTTTCCACCTCTTCCAAATACAGAATCCGCTCTCTTACGCACCTCCCCCACTTCATCAAAACAAAATACCAGCCACACTATGTCTATTACCACACCTTTATCATCAGTTGGCGGAGGGACTACATGATCTACCTCTAAGGTCACCCCGTCGGCCAATGTCACTTCTCAGCCATCTCGCTCAGCTAACGTGGCATCAAGACAACCTTCGCGCCAAAGGCACGTAACGCCTATTGTTCCGCGTGATGGGGCGAGGTGGCGTACGTTAAACTACAAATTCATTTCTTAAATCTGAGGAAGACTATCGTAAGATCATTCGACTGTTCCGAGAGGAAGAAGTGCCCCATCACACTTTTCCTCTCCCTTCGGAACGGAACATCCACGCGGTGGTTCGAAGAGTTCCCGTCAACTTTTGGGATACTGAGATTAAGGGAGAACTTGAGCAGAGGGGATATAGCCCTCTCCACATCATTCGATTGACGCGCAGCGGCGGCGCGCCCATGCCTTTGATGGTCGTGATACTGCCCAAAACTGAAAAGTCTCAGCAAGTGTTCAACGAACACGAACTGCTGGGACTGGCCATTCGAGTTGAGGTTCAGAAGAACTCCAGACTCATTGGGCAGTGTCACCGCTGGCAAAAGTACGGGCATGCGCAGTCTTATTGCACTGCACCGCCCAAATGCCTAAAGTGTGCAAAGGACCACATGACGTATTTGTGCCCCATCACAGATTAGTGCTACCCAAGCGTTGCAGGCGATATTTCCTGTAAATGTCTAGATACAATAGCAGACAGCCTGCATTCATCAAAATTATTTTGTGGAATTGTTTGGGTATGAGGGATATTCCCAAAAAACGGGAATTTCATCAAGCTCTTTTGGATGAAGGTATAGATGTGGCCTTGCTGCAGGAAACGTTTTTAATCCGGGAGATCGTTTAGCTCTCCCGAATTACGATGTTATCCGAGGTGACAGATTGAACGGTCGATGTGGCGGTTTAGTAGTGTTGATTAAGCGCGGTATAGACTATTATAGAAGCACTAATGCGGAGATGCATAGCATCGACGCAGCTTCTGTGGTGGTCAATATGGCGGTAGGTGTCTCGTTGAAGATCACATCGGTGTATGTCAGGTGTGGTGCCAGGCTACAAGAGGCGGAACGAGCATGGAATTCTAGGTTGAATTCCACTAGTGGGATTCGATTGTACAATCATGTGATGCGAAATGGGTACCTTATACATAGCACTGAAGAGCCGACACACCATCCGTTCAACCATCTTCAGGCACCAGATGTCATCGACTTCGCGATATCTAAAAACTGTAGGTACAGTATCTCTTCTCGAATCTTGTATGATATCTCTAGTGACTATCTACCTGTTGTGTTGGACGTGGGCAATGAGCAAACTTCTGAGAAGAAAGCTCCTCCAAGGAAACGCCTTGATTGAGAGCTATACAAGTTGCTCCTTAGAGAGTTTACCAATTTCCCGATTATAAATGATGAGTCTGGAATAGATGCCGCTCAAGCGGATTGGACAAGTTTCATTCAAGCAGCTCTACAGCGTGCAGCTGTACTTCCTGTACAACGACACGGCAGACCTTTTTTGCCTGCAGACATTCGTCAGAAAATCTCTGACAAAAGAGCCGCTATTAAGCAGGCAAAAGGGTCTTGTCATCCTGATGACAGTCGTATGGCTACAAATCTTGTCCATGAAGTGAGAAACGCACTGCACGAACTCCGCAACGAGCCATGGAGCGACTTTCTGGTGGGAATGCTTGATTCAAGTATTCCTCTCTGGAGGGTTACAAAGTCACTCAGAAACGAAAAGCGAGAATAACTCCCGCACATTCGCGGTCCTGAAGGCATAGTCTTCAGAACGAAGGATAAGGTCGAGGTTTTCGCTGATGCCATGGAAAAACAGTTCTCTTCCAACTAGGAATCTTGATAATGAGGAACAGCACATCGTACGATCCGTCAGGAGATATTTTAGGGCCAACGGCGTTAGCGGAGGCACTGAATTCTCTTCAGATGACTCTTCTTTAGAAGATTCGTCTGGGGCTCCACATAGCACATTAGCAGAACCCTCCGAGTTTCCACATTGCACACCAGCGGAGCTCCTAAGTCATATCAAAGACCTCAAGGCGCGTAAAGCACCTGGAGAGGATCAAATCACCAATAAGGCGTTGAAGCTGCTCTCGCCGAAAGCCCTGACATATTTGGTGACAATAATCAATGCGACGCTCAGAATCTAGTACTTCCCTGCTGGGTGGAAGACTGCTGAGGTCATCATGATTCCAAAGAAGGTGGGTTCGATATTTCCTCAGGATTACCGTCCCATAAGTCTGCTGTCAGCTCCTTCTAAGCTCGCCGAAAAGGTGATTTATCGTCACCTTGAGAATTTTTCGTCAAATCACCATGTGATTCCTGACGTCCAATTCGGTTTTCGGTCCGAGCATAGCACCGAGCTACAGGCAGTCAGGCTGGTGGAGCATATAACCAGAGGGTTCACCCTTAGCATGAGTACTGGCATCTTGCTTTTGGATGTCTCAAAAACCTTTGACAAGGTGTGGCACGCGAGCGTCCTTTATAAACTAATCCAAAAGGGTTTTCTTTTTTGGCTTACTGAAATCCTTTCCTGAAGGAAGGAAGTTTCGGATCAAAATTAACAATGCTTTGTCAACAACACGGTCAGTACGGGCCGGTGTTCTTCAGGGTTCGGTCCTAGGACCAATCCTTTATTCGTTTTTTATCCATGATGTCCCTTGTCCCAGCAACTGTGACGTCTACCTCTATGCTGACGACACTGCACTTGTTGCCCAGTCGTGTACTGACGATCTGGTTCACGATGGGTTGCAGAGAGCAGTGGAAGAAGTACTAGAGTGGGCGGAACCGTATCTGATTAAAATCAATCATTCGAAAACGCAGGCTATTTATCATACCAAAAAGCATCGCGGCCCCCCCAGCAGAGGTATCTGTAGACGGCAATCGTGTACCATGGACAAATTCTGCCAAGTACCTCGGTGTCACCCTTGATAAAGGCATGACCTGGCAGAAACATACAGCAGCCTTGAAAACAAAATTCCAAGTTACGTTTCTGCAACTATATATTTGTTATGTAGATCCTCCAAATTGAGTTTGATAAATAAAGTTCGCCTATATAAAATGATTATTAGACCAGCCATTACTTATGCATGTGCTGCTTGGTGTTTTCTTGCCAAGATACATATGCAAAGTCTTCAAGTACTGCAAAGTAGAACCCTCCATGGTATGTCTCAAACGAGACACTACACAGAGACCTTGACATTCCTTACTTGAGGGATTATGTCAAACTTCAGGCGCAGCGACGTTATAGTCAAGCGGAATCGCACAGCAACCCTCTATTGCGCGACTCAGTGGACGACACAGTGGAGCAAGTTCGTAAACATTCAAGGCCACGGCTCGCACTGTAATCAAAAATTAGCGCGAACTTTTAGTACACTTAAAATTACACTCTAACAAAACTGAATCAAAAATTTGTTTAGTTCACCTCAAAATTAATCCGTGTACCAAGTCAAAAAGCCTAGGTGTCTCCTCTTCAACTGAACACTTCTGTTTTTCTTTGTTCTTCTCCATTTTTCTTCTCTTTCCCTTTCTCTTTTTCCTTGGCATTGTCTGCTTTCTGGTCAGCCAGACAAACAAATGACGAATAGTAATATGTGACTATTCTGGAGTGAAATTGTCCCAAACATACAAAAATCGCTCTCAAATTGCCATCTGATAAATCGGTCGGAAGATATTTATTTTACCAGTTCAAAGGCGCGAGTACAAACTCCAGTTTATTTTTGGCAATGGCTTAGTCGTTTCGTATGGACTAATTATGTGGATTATTCTTTCGGAAGGCATTCGAATTGACAGCCTAATTACATCGAGAAAAAATTCGCGAAAAGAACTTTTGACTGGAGTATCTGCGAAACGAATAATCAGATTGCAATTTGTATGCGGTTTTCGAATGCCTTGGACAATTTTACCTCGGAATAGTCATATATTATGGGGCCTAATGTTTTCAATGGACTGAAGTATCGAGAACGTGGAAAAGCTGCCAAAATGTTAAAGTTTACGTTTTTTCCGAATCTCCACCATCTAAGCAGGTCTTTTGGAAGGAAATGTACGTAAAATTTTATAGGGCTTCATGCCTCTGTATGTACAACTTTCCAGCAAAAAAACCCGATTTGAGATATGACCCGCCTAGCTGGGTGGCGGATGTTTAGTTTTGACCCATATAATTAGCAACTTTGTAAAAATACAGTGGTCCCATTTTCTGATCCAACAGTATTTTGTGGTGTGTTTTACCATCAGTCCACAAAAAAGCACTAGAAATGTGAGTTTCTGTATCTTCATCTGAAAAGAAAAATAAGCGCTTTTGAATCTGTTACAAACACTTCTAAAGCTCAGTCGAAAAACTTCAGACCAAGATGACGTATATCAAGTTTGGATTGAGGAAGAACTTGAGTACGACGATTACTGTTAGTGCAAGTTATCCATAGTTCTTGATCGATACCTGTGAATGTGTAATTTCAGTGTAAATTTACGCATTAGTAAGCTGAGTTATCCCTCAGTATGGCCTGTTTCACAACCTTGTGCTTCTCGCATTTGCCCCACCAGGAGGTTCGCACGCATTTCTTCTTCGGCTTCAGTACGAAGCATTTTGTCTGGACAAAGTTGAAGAATAGCTTCCCTACCAGGTTGGCGTCACTGGTACCAACTCTCTTCAAACAGGCTCTGAATCTGAAAAGAAGAAATCATTAAGTAAAAGCGTTGTCAGTAATTTAATTTAGACAGTACGATAAAAAGGTGGGACGTTTCTTGATGTGCAAAAAATCTGTGTTTTATTAAAGGCTTTACCAGGCAACATTTTCGGTTTCCTTTTTCGGGAGACAACATGATTCCAAAACGTTTATCCAAAAACAAAAGGAAATATAATACTTTATCTTTGGATAATGCTTTCGAAAAGTCGAGTTATGGTCAGGTAGCTGAATTTATATATTTATCTCGAAACAATAAACAAAAAATGTGAATAATTGTAATGTAATTAAGAAGTAAAAGAATGGGTATGTGTTTATACGTTTACAGATGGTTATTTGTGTAGTAAGATTTCTACACTGTGATTACCTTGATATATGATGCTTATATCAATTAACCTTCTACTGTCTAGTAGACTATAATCAATAATTTACAAGGTTCTGTGTAGTCTATGTAGGTATTCCTTGCCGAAAATTTATGGGCAGGGCAAACGGCAACGTGCAGTAAAAAATAATACCAGTGGGCAGTCTCTGAGCATTCTATTTATTTTTTAACAGTTTCCTGATTACGAAATCAAATAAATCCGCTACAATTTATATCTGTTCTCCAATTTTTCCCAAACAATAAAAAGGCGCAACCCATGAGGTGATTTACGTCCATTTTTAATGTTTGCTTGTGAGATGAGATGTGCCAATGCTTACAGGATGGTATGGTGAAGTCAGTAGTATATAAAACGTAAGGGTTTACAGGACTTTCGCACGACTAATGTGATACCTAAATACAGTTAAAAGAACACAGATACTATTTTCGTTTAAGAAATACATATTTTAAACATGACAGAACTTACTATCCGCAAAAAAATACCGGTTTAAAAAAAGTAGCGACCTGAGACATGCTTTTGATAATTTCGTAACCTATTTATGTTATATATGTTATGTATTTATGTTGAATGTATTGAGGTAATTCTTGCAAAAGCTGCCTTTCTAATCATCTTTCAAATGTAAACCAGCAAACTTCTTGTCGTTAATGATTTTGCTGATACACATGTGACGAAAACCCAGGGATAGACAAATATTCAGATCAACATATTGTATAGAGGTGAGGAAATGAGCAATATATATGTATCGTAACGTAGAGAACTACGACGTTAAAGGTAATTTAAGGTCAAGTGAGTATTTTCAAATGGAACCCCCTTTTTCAGATCGGAGCTAAAGAGAGAAGGAAATTTTACATCCCTTATTACCTCACTATAATCTTCAAGGTCAAATCAAAATTTCCTCTCATTTTTATACCGGAATTGGAAAAAGCAGCAAATTTTAGGATCGAATGTGACCTTGACCTCAAATAACATTTAAGCTTGACAAGACCTTGACTTTCAGGTCATCTGATGTTCATTTCACGGTTACTTCAAGGATACATTCAAAATAAGTCCATACGCGTGTCATATAGGTTTTCGCCGACGTTAAGTCCAAATCAGAGATCAGTTTGTCTCTAGGAAGGCATTTCAAGGGAATTTTAAGGTCACTTAAAGGAAAACTTGGAAAAAGTTGAAAGACAGTTTCTGACCACCTGTAATAATATCTAAGGTCGCATATGTATAAGATAGATTTATCAGTAGTTTGCAATAGTTAGTAAGAACGGATACTACATTTTATCAGGCAGTACTTATTAACAACCTGTCCGAATAATTTAAAGAAGTGACGCTAAAAATAGCAATCCTCCCAATTCATGAAAAATACAATAATGGCAGATTTATGCTACATCCATTGCAATTTCGTACTCTCTTTATTCTGATCTATATTCAGATGCTCTAATATCTTCAACACAGAACATAGCCTGTCATGGTAAGGGTAGAGTTCTGATTCGATAGCCAACTTATTGTTTGAGGAATAACTTTAAAATATGTAATAATTTCCATTCATTTCCGATGCTGTTTTTCCAATTTTTTCAATATTTTCGCATAGAGTGCGGAGAGGACTCACTATGGACAGGTAAATGACAGTCAAACAGACAGAAATGAATGACACCCTTTTTCAAGATCTCACGTGGCATTCAATGACATAAAGCATTTTACTTCGTACGCCACTAGACCAGGCGGTATTGTAAGTCCAAAAATTTTTTTTAAAATGAGATATTGTGTTTTTTGGCTTTTATATGACGTGTATATGACGAAAAACCATGTCACTCATTTCCGTCGGTCTGTCTCTCTGCCCGCCCGTTAATCTTTGGCTATAACTTGAGAAGTATTTCAAGGTCGAAAAAGATTTGTAGATTCTGAAAATCGTTCCAGTAACGGCTGAGAAAATACCCAAAAACGAAAAAAAAAAAATTAAATTCGCTCAAACAATCTTTTTTGACGCTTTAGAAAAATTCTTGTAAGGGTTGAAATTTGATTCTTTTTGTTTTTAGTATATCTATACGCTCCCAACTCCGGAGATTATATGCACCTGTTAGCCATATTTTACATATCATAGATTTCCCTGTACATTTGCCTTTAGCACTTAGCATGACAGAGAAATAAATGTTTTCGATCAGCGTACTCCTGCTATCTAAGCTCACCGCAGGGCTAATCGATACGGCTGTTTAATCTATACGTACAGGCGTTTGTTTTGGTTAATATTCAGATTCTCAACGCTGATGCTTTCGGAGATATTTGGTAAAAAATGAGCATAAAATATAGAGCAACACTATTAGCAACTGAGATGGTATACGTGGAATACATATTGTGGGAGAATACTCTCATAAAGTGCTACAGGTAGGCTGAGAACATATCGGCAAGCTGTAGTTGGTAGATTATTGAAAATTACATGGATTAGTTATATCTGGAATCAGCCTCTTTATGATCCTTGTAGATGGCACCGTTATATGACGGATGAAAGCTTTTTTTTGTATTGACATCAATATTTAAATAACGCATAGTAATATCTACAGAGTACAGTCATAAAGCCGTAAGCTTTATTGAGCAAAATTCTGCCCATCTAGGCCAACAAATTTAAGGCATTGTAACTGTAAATGTCATTTGTATAAATTACATTTTTATTGTTCCAGAATTATCAAGAAACAATAATTCATTGATGAAGACTGTGCTCTGCAACACAAAATAATATGAATATGCAATAAAACAATTTTTATACCATTGTCAAAAATGATGTTCACAGCATGTGATTATTTGTTGAAAATAAATGTATTTTGTGCATCATAATTACTATTAGATTTTGTTAGTCTGAAACTTGTTCCCAGCAAAACTGCTGACATAGGTATTATCCTTATTGGGGATATTTTATGAATATACATTCATGAAATAATCCTTTAATACCGTAAATATCATTTTCAGCAGATTTTATATTATGAACAAACGAAATCCCCGGCACATCTCTCGCATTCCTTATTCCAGGCGCATTTTAGGCGTTCCTTCGATGTTCCTCCAGATCTCCAGGCAAGTAGGCGATGCCACTGTCTGACTAACGTCAATGGTGTTGTCATAGTTTAACGTGCAGCTCCCACTTCTCCAGTGTTATGTGTTCTGTACTACAGCAGAGGTAGGGCAGGGAAAGAATGTCTATGGACTAATTGTATGGGCCCGTTTGACAGACTTCATCCGTTTAATTTTCCTGTTGTATATGTCCGTAATTCACTTTTTTCTCAGAGAATTTAAACTGCGCTGAACTTAATCCCTTATGAACTCATGACGGCCTTGCGTTGGATGGGCAGAGTGAGTGTTTACATTGAAGGATTGATCACCCTGTATTTTATACGCAGATACTTGATTTATACAACGTTTCTTAACGAACGTTGTTAAATTGTTTATGGTTAATAATTTAGAATCATTTATATTGCAGATTATTCGATAGCTGATCGGTGCGACCGAGCCGGCACACCAAAATCACTGAATCGATTGAGAGGAGAGATTCATTACCGATGACAGACTATAACGCATAATTGATTAATTGATCAAAACAGCAAGGTTGGCTTGCAAAGTAATTAATGTGGAATGGACCCACCTGTAAGTTTGCAGATGACATAAGATGTTCCTATGTACCGTTCATCAGACGATTTAATCATTCATGTAACCGACAAACTGTGCTTACAGGAACTCAATGAATCTTGCGCAGAATGGTTCAATATATACCAGGTGTTGAATAGTGGTGCTGCTATTTCCTGCGCTTGTTGGTGGTTGCTGGTATTCCGCCAAGGTATAACTCACTTTGGGGGCAGTATACTTATACGCTTTGAACCCCAGTAATGTTACGCACCTATCAGTACATATTTCACACATCAAAGATTCACCTGTACATTTGACCTTACAACTTTGAGAAATATTCATAGACGAGACACGCGGTCGGTCGGGACGACACGGCGCAATCACGATTTACATAAGCCGAACCCTGCCTTGCGCCTTATAGTATCGTGGCTGGCGCTTATGGAGTGTTTGGCAGGTGTAGCCCAGTAGCGTTGTCAGATGGTCGATACTTAGGGCAGGGAAAAAAGTAGCGTTACCGATATCAAATAGATTGGGACTACGGAGTATGTGTTAAATGTATCGATGTAGCCTGTTTGGCTGACTTGACCCATTTAAGTTTTTGTTGTTATGCATGTTTTTAGCTAGCTTAAAGATACTAATTTAATCTATATGAGCTGATGAAAGCGTTGCCTGGGATGTGCATAGTCGACCTACTTGACGCCATTTTTGTCAGATGGCAGGAGAGATGGAATGCAACCGGCTGATCCCAAAAATTAAAACTTAAATTGACAAGGGAGCGGTGCGGGTAGGTGACTATTCTACACAATTCCTCACAGGACATGGTTGTTTCAACAGCCACCTGAAGAGGGCAGAAAAGAGAGAGTACGCGAGACGTAGACTGCCAGAGACTGCTGGAATTGACGCTCGGCGAAGGGCTCGGTGCTGACAATTTTGTTAGGCAAGGAAGCGAGAGATAATGGGTTGATATTTAACAATAATTAGACGAATGATGCTGCGAAAGGTGCAAGAGGACAAAAATAGACCAAATAACCAACAATGAGACGACTAAATACCTTTGGTATGAAAACTTCGCGTAACGCTGCCCACCGTGATGAAATGCTGCAAGCATCACCGTGAAGGGAGCGAACGACACGGGTTTTAGTGAATATGCCGCATTTCTGGAGAATCTCACACTTTGGGCATAGAGCAATACTATCGAGCTTTTCTGCCTGAGAGTGGCTATGAAAGCTTCCTCCTGTCAAAAAAAATACCGGGTGTCACGCATGGCATTACAGATAGTTCATTTTGATTTGTTTTACTTTCTAGATATATGCAATTATGCCGTATCTACTACAGAAAGAAAAAACTGCGGTGATCAAATTGTCTAGTCTCGAATATTGAAGTTTTGATTGGACGCTTTCCCATAGTGGTGAATGAATACAGCAGTTTAAATGTACAAAAATGTGTCTCGCAACGTACTAACTTAGTACTAATGTATTGCTTGCTTGGAAGACGAACTGCTCGTTACGGGGTGAGTCATAATTTTAAATGGAGGGTCCTGTAGATTTAGTGTATTCTAAAAGCTTTATTTTCCTGGAGCTACGAAAAAATGGCGTCGACCCTATCGAAATAAGATAGGGACATAGAATCTTATATCCTGGATATAGGATAGTTGCTATGATTGTTGACCTCGAGACCAAGCCTAGATCATACTAGCGAGAAGTGCGAAATAGCTATTCATGGTTGGCTGTCTTTGGTCGGACGGAAGAAAGCAGCATGTTTAGGTTAGACTCTCTGATAAGAAAGTTAGTTACGAACATGTATAACGGAGAAATTAAATGAAGTCTGTCAACCAGGTCTTATAATTAGGCCATGGACGTTCTTTCCTTGCCTCACCCGTAGTAGTGGGCATCTGGCAATATTGCTTCTCCCTAGCACTTGATCGCACGACGTATCAGTTACGGCAGCGCGACAATCATGCGAGGATACTTATGAAGACCGGTACGCCGGCCCGTGAAGCCAGACAACAGACCTAGGGAAGCGGGTCGAAATATACCTAATGAGCGCGTGGAATTATCAAAGATGGACATGTATTAATATGCCAACATCAAAAATTGCGATACACCCTACCCCTACAACCTGACTACCCCAAAAAAATCAAAACTGATCAGGTTATGAATCGAGGTTTGACCGAATTTTCCAAGTTATCGACGGGACTAGGCTTATCGGACAGATAGACCGACATAGCGACAAACCGACGGAAACGAGTGACATGGGTTTTCGTGACATTTAACATCCAAAAAGCATAATATCTCATTTTCGAAATTCTTCGCGATGCCTTACCCCCGCCAGTAGTCGTGGAAAGTAAAAAAAACAAACAATTTTGACAGCTTGTGAGAGGAGCAATCTCCTCGTCAAAGTTAGTTTCATACCCCATAGCTTCCCGCCATATAAACGCAAAATGTTGTTACGGTTTTGGGTTATACTTTTTAAAAGCTTTATTCTGGAATGTCATTTTCGGGGAATTGAATTACTAATTTTTTGAGCTAAGCAGTTTTCCGGATATCACAATTCGGTTCATTGCCAGAGAGCATGGGAGGCAATTTCAGTGGATGATTGTATCCATGCCCTTTCCACGATTCATGTGTATTTACTGTGAATTGTAAGTTCTAGCCCCCCGAAAAGTTATTCTAAAATAAAGTTCAAGCAGGACAACTCAATACCGTAAAAATATACAGGGTGTTCAATTTAATTTTTTTTAAAACGTACATTTTGCGTTCTTAAGCAGCTTGTATAGATGATGCATAAAGCTATATTCACTCCCTTTGAACATATATTTTAGAATATATTAAAAGTATATGGTATCCCGTCTAAAAAACGCTAGCTTGTGTAGTTACGAATGACCCTGGAGAGAGCTGCATATTTTCCAAAAACGGAACAATTTTTTCAACTTGCTCCTTTAGATACGCTTTTTACCATAACCCCTTCTTACGCCGTTTTAAGGAGGTACTGGTATATACTGTGATCTATCTGGTGTAAAGTCTATTACAGAAGCAGAGTGAATGACATCTAACACAATACAAAACATAAAAATTGACACACCTAATCCCAGAATTATATTATACGTACATACCCAAGATGGTATCTTTAATCTTTTATTTATTCTTCAGCCACTGTAATGGCATGTCGACTACCTCAATCGAATTTTTAAATCAACCTCCGCACATTTTGCGGGAGACAACCTCGTAAATTATAATATAATTTTTCATCAGCATTTATCTTATCACAGGTAGCCGCGCTGCTGTGTATGTAGTGTGGATCAGTGGTGGGGTAAAGACCCGCAGAAACCAAATGAAGAAAGGCTTTTAGTAATTTTTTTCAAATCTACACTGAGAAAACGTGAACAATCAAACAGTTTTTCTGGAAAATTTTCGTGATACATTTCCAATTACTCTAAGTAACTAAATTATTCGGTTTAATCTGGAATTTTCTGGAAGCAATTGAAAGTAATATACTATTAAACTGATTAAAAATAGCAAACCATGTTCCTGTTTTATTAAATTGTTTAATTAGTTTATGTAATTTGATGTATGAACAAAAGGAACATTTTAAAACAATTAAACATTTTAATCAAAACAGTTAAACTGTTCATTTGAAGTACGGACTCGGCAGGACTCGCCTTCATTCGTGAATAATTGGGAGTGCACGACAGACGCAGGACGGTGACGCGCTTGTAACTCCTCAGTTTAATTTGTGATTTTCGCGAGGAGCTTCATATTCGATTGTTGCCGTCGCGAAGTGAAGTAACTGAGAAATGGTTTTATTCAGTTTGTGAACCAGTTAACCTTAGCCAGCTGTACTGAAATTTTGTACACATGTTTGGCTTGTGTGACAATATAAAATGAGTTACCTGTCATCCAATATGGCGGATGCTACAAAATTGCGATTCATCATTTACATAGTCACATATACGATATGGGTATCAAATGAAAGGGTTTGATAAGATAAACATAATGAGCTAAGTGATATCATGCTAGATCCAATGTGGTGGCCATCACAAAATGACGATCTACATTCGTTCACAATCACTTCTATGATCTGGGTACCAAATTCAGAGGTTTGATAAGAGAAATGCATTAAGCAAGTGACGCCATTCTAATTCCAATATAACGACCGTCCTTAGATGGCGTTTATTGTTACCATAGTCACCCCAATGATTCTGGTATCAAATTAAAAGGCTTTGTGGGAGAAACATAACTAGCAACGTGACGTCATTCTAAATCCAATATGGCGCAGGCCGCTAGATAACAATTTATAATGTATATGGGTATCATATGAAAGGACTTAATGAGAGCAACACGATAAGCAAATAACGCCTGAAATAACGTCATTCTAAATTCCATATGGTGATCGCGTCAAAATATTGATTTATCCCTATATGATTTATATCTATCGAAATTTTATAATACAAATAAAGTAAGAAGTTTTATGGAGTCGTATTAATGAAATATATTTTGAAAAGTATATAGAAATTCCAAACTAGTTATTTGACTTCATAAATATTAAAACTTAAAAAAATGATCAAAAATATTTTTGTAAGCAACATTTTATTTAGCTATTACTAAAGTGATCTAAAACCTTGAAAAAATATTTTTCCAATAAGACGAAGGAGGGTGTTTTATAGAATAAGCTTCCCATTCACTTGTATCTAAGGGCTGTATCCTCAGTCGTTCCTACAATAATTGCAGGACGCCTTTATGGCCTCCTTGATTTTTATTTCAGGCTATACAGGGTGTAAACGTTATGGTAGTCATTATTGAAATGGGTAATAGGGGGGTCAAAACAAGTCAAAAAGTTCATATGACCTATGGTCCAAAAGTCAATAGATTTTTGTCTAAATGGCTTTTTAGTTTACAACTTTAAGTGTTTTATATCGACCACAATCACCACAACCTTACTAATTTTTATAATCTAATCTAAAACGTTTTTAAATTGTGTAATTAACAAATAAATGGCATTAAGTTAAGCCAAAATTTATAGTCAGTAAGAAACTAAGTTTCATTAAATTGAATATTTAAAACACACTTGACACTAGCGCGTCGGTCATCATCACTCTTATTGAACAATTTTTTATTGAACCGGCAATCGATCGCAAACGGTAACAGTGGTTAGTTATCCTTTTGTATAGTTTTGCGGCATTGTCAGATTTATTTTACTTTAAAGTCGCCTTTCTCTAAAAAAATGCCGTTTTGACCCCCATGTTATATGAAACTTTTTGCTTCTTTTAAAACCCTCCAACACCCATTCAAATAATGACTATCAGAAAGATTACAACCTGTATAACAGATGATATAAACCAAAAGTATGAACAGTTTGATGCAAATAGGTATTTGTAACATAACCTCATAATATAGCGTAGACACGGAAGAGAATAAAACAGTGGAGACAACTTGTTCATGCTTTTGATTTATATCATCTGTTATGTAGCTTGGAAATTCCTTCAATTCAAGAAGAAAACATAGCCTGACAATAGAAGAGCGCTGACGCTGACACGGAACAATAGAAATCTAGAAATATCCCAGCCTTTCTGAAGGAGGAGGAGAAGGAAAATCAAGGAGGGCATAAACGCGGCCTGCAATATTGTATGAACGACTGACGATACGGCCCTAAGATTTCTCACTAAACAACAACAACCCGTAAGCCTGCATTTAATCGGCGCTCATGACATTATACATACATATACAAGCATAAAATAAACGAGAGCACCACTGGAAATCTTAATCCTGGCATATTAACATAAATTTTAATTTAAATACGACACTAAACTTTTATTGAACGATTAATTCCCTCCAAAGCGGCGTTATTCAAAACTGACCAGTCGCATATCTTTAGATATTCGGGAATGTCGTCTAGGAAATTTCGTACGGATACAGTCTTCTCCAAAGGTGGGTTCAACTCCACTCACTCCAGCACCAAATGCTGGAGATCACGGGTTCTAGTCTTGTCCGTATCATTTTTACTTCTCACACTAATTGGCAAGGAAGTATTGTAATCCCAAAAAATCTCGAAAATGAAATACTCATGTTTTTACATCACGAAAGACCGCCCGTTGGCCCTTGACACCTCTATAATAATTTTCAAGGTATCGCTTATATTTTGACGGAAATTTGACACAGGGTTGCTACTATACCAAGGGCGAAAGGCTTTGTAGGTTTCAAAAACCGAACCAGTGGCGGTGGAGCTGCGGGTAAAAATCGACAAAAAAAACAATAGTCGCTCATAGGTACAGGTATACGTCCCCTTCTCGTTGCCTCGGCGGAGGTCATAAGCGTGCGGAGTACATTTTAATACGGGTTGACGGAAACGCCGGAGCCGGCGCTATAATATTTGATGCGTTCTTTTATTTTTTTTTGTCATAAGAAAATTTAACATAGCTCTTGAAAGCTAGAATAATACAGGGTCCGTCAGAAAAAACGCATGTTTTTCGAATGGGTACTACATCAAGTGGGCTGATCCCGTGTCGGTGGGGAAGGGCGTGTTGGATAGTGGGAGAAGTGCCGTTTCAGTTGGCAAGATGGTTTGGAACATTGAGCATCGTGTGTTCACTGTACGTCGGTACTTTCAAAATGGCGAGTCTGTCGTTCGAACGAAACGTGAGTTTTGCGTTCACTTTTGTGTTCCACGTCGTGGGACAGTACCAGCATTCAACACAACTGGTAATGTGATAAAGAAAAAACCGCCAGGGCGAAACCGTACTGTTAGAACCCCCGAAAACGTACACAGAGTGAGAGTTGACACGCTGCAAAGCCCGAACCGTTCCGTTCCTTTGCGTGCCAGTTCTCTAGGGATCCAGGCGTCCTCTGTACGTCGCATCTTGAAGAAGGATTCAGTGTTCCATACTTACAAAATCTAAGTTTGTCAGCAACTGTTGCCAGGGGATTATGCACAACTTGTTAATTTTGCACAGCTCATGATTGAACAGTTGGATAACAATGACATGACGTTGTTTATGAGTGATGAAGCACATTTTCATTTACATGGATATGTCAATAAACAAAATTGTCGATATTGGTCTCCAATGAACCTCCAATAGTTGCATGACACCTCCTGCATACCCCGAAGGTTACAGTTTGGTGTGCAGTAGGCCCAACGATGATTTTATTGGCCCTTATTTTTTTTTACTATGATGGAGAAACTACTACTGTGAATTCAAACGTTACATCCACATGCTGAACAACTTTTTTTCCCCAACTTCGACGTTTACGTGCCCGTCTCAGAACAGTGTGGTTCCAACAAGACGGGGCAACAGGCAACATCTCACACGGCTCGCACTTCGATGGAACTTCTTCGGCAAAAATTCCCAGGACGTCTCACTTCACGTCTGGCGATATTCAAAGCCCCCGTCGCTCCCCGGACCTGTCAACGTGTGATTTTTTTTATGGCGCTACCTGAAATCAAAAGTTCACGAAAGCAGGCCTCGGACCCTCGTCGATTTGAAGGAGAAAATAAGAAGAGAAGTAACCCAAATTCCTGCTCGGATGCTGGCCGACGTATTTCGGGAGAGGTTTGTTTCCTGCATTTCGGCTCAAGAGCGCCATATGGCAATGGCAATAAAATATTTTTCCCATACTTATTTTGACTGTACTACTCATTTAAAAAACATGCGTTCTTTCTGACGGACCCTGTATCAGCCAAGAGTACAACACTAGTGTGGTAACGTCGAAAGCCATTCTATTAAGAGTCTGATCCTATAAATAGTACGTATAACACAGATAAGATATAACATTCGCATATAAATAGTATATATGTTACGGGTAAAGTTAGAATCTTGATTAAACTTAGGTTTACCCGGGTAAACTGCACAATACCCAGACAACATGGGTAAAGTCTGAAATTGTAAATGTTTCGGACTTTACCCGGGTAAACCGCGTTCTATCTACTTTCGTGTGGTTAATGTAGAGAAATAAGGCTATAAATGTTTGAAAAACACATTTTATTGAAAGAACAGATTTTAAAAATCAAAGGTTACACTGAAAATGTATCCTAACAAAGTACAAGATACTATTTATTTGTTTGAACAAGATAAGCTGTTATGACATTTTGAGTTACAAAGATTTCCAATAGCCTTACATTTACACTTATATTGGTCATGCATTTAGCTTTACAGTTGCATCGTTTGTAACAT